CCCCGACATCTATCCCGATCCCGATCCCGCAACTCACTTCCCAGTAGGTCACCCATCCTTCCACTGCTCCAGCTCAATCCTCCTTAACCCTGGAGTTCCAATTGACAATCATCCAACTGCTCCAAGTTAAACTTCTGATATTACATAACATTAATATATATACATATATAAATGTTTATACATATAAATATTTATATACATACATACATATATACATACATACATATACATATATATAAATATTTATATATATATATATGAATTCGAATGTATACATACGTTAATATTTATATATATATATACATATATTTATATATATGTATATATATGTATGTATATATATAAATATTTATATATATGTATATGTATGTATATATGTATGTATGTATATAAATATTTATATGTATAAACATTTATATATGTATATATATTAATGTTATGTAATATCAGAAGTTTAACTTGGAGCAGTTGGATGATTGTCAATTGGAACTCCAGGGTTAAGGAGGATTGAGCTGGAGCAGTGGAAGGATGGGTGACCTACTGGGAAGTGAGTTGCGGGATCGGGATCGGGATAGATGTCGGAGTTGGGCCGGGGGATCGGGGTCGGGGCTGGAGGATCGGGATCGGTGCCGGGGGTCGGGATCGGGATCGGGATCGGTATCGGGATAGATGTCGGGGCCGGGGTCGGGATCGAGAATATATTTTGAATTTTTTGTTGGAATGTTCCAACGGATTGCGGTTGGAAATTCCGTTGGAAAATTCCAACGGATATCGGTTGGAAATTCGGTTGGAAAATTCCAACCGATAAATCCGTTGGAAATCCGTTGGAAAATTCCAACGGATTGCGGTTGGAAATCCGTTGGAAAATTCCAACGGAAAAATTCGTTGAAATTCCGTTGAAAATTCCAACGGTTTTCCAACGGAAACCGTTTTCTAACGACGAAATTCCAACGGATTTATCCGTTGGAAATCCGTTGGAAACGTTAATTTCCAACGGAAATTTGGTCATTTCCAACGGATTTGCCCGTTGGAAATGACCATTTTTTTTGTAGTGGAAGAATTGAATTCCACATATATAGATAGTTCTGTTGATCTATAATAATTTTGAATTTACTCCCATTATGTATGCAGATTATCTTTGTGACAGCCTAAGATACTGTAGGAGGGCGAAGAGTGATCGCCGGTGCGAGAGGCATAGTGTAACGACCCGAGGCCGCTACGGAATGATAGAACTGTCCCCACACACCAACACGGGACCTTTTAGCGTGCTTTGTCCTCACTCGCACACATCCCGGAAAGTACTTCCCAGGAGGTCACCCATCCTAAGACTACTCCAGAGCCAGCACGCTTAACTTTGGAGTTCTCTCGAGATGGCTAACCGAAAAGGTAGATGCATCTTGTTGCTATGAGTAGCTCAATTAATTCCTTTAAGTTACCTTAGACTGTATAGTCCCATACCTACACAGCCCTCGGATCCCTCTCATTCCGGTGCGTCCGCTTCGTCCCTGTACCCCCTACCGAGAAGCTCGTCAGGAGCCGCCCCTTGTCCATGCCTCTCGCACCGGCGATCACTCCCCGCCCTCCTGCGGTACCCTGGGCTGTCACAGGCCCACCAGCTTCCGCCTGGTTCATCCACGAACCACACCGTACTGGGAGAGAACCGGCTCTGATACCATTTGGAACGACCCGAGGCCGCTACGGAATGATAGAACTGTCCCCACACACCAACACGGGACCTTTTAGCGTGCTTTGTCCTCACTCGCACACATCCCGGAAAGTACTTCCCAGGAGGTCACCCATCCTAAGACTACTCCAGAGCCAGCACGCTTAACTTTGGAGTTCTCTCGAGATGGCTAACCGAAAAGGTAGATGCATCTTGTTGCTATGAGTAGCTCAATTAATTCCTTTAAGTTACCTTAGACTGTATAGTCCCATACCTACACAGCCCTCGGATCCCTCTCATTCCGGTGTGTCCGCTTCATCCCTGTACCCCCTACCGAGAAGCTCGTCAGGAGCCGCCCCTTGTCCATGCCTCTCGCACCGGCGATCACTCCCCGCCCTCCTGCGGTACCCTGGGCTGTCACACATAGACAATAGACGACTCTCCTGACGAGCTTCTGGGTAGGGGGTACAGGGATGAATCAGACGCACCGGAATGAAAGGGATCCGAGGGCTGTGTAGGTATGAGATTACACTGTCTAAGTTAAAGGAATTAATTGAGGTACTCATAGCAACAAGATGCATCTACCTTTTCGGTTGCCCATCTCGAGAGAACTCCAAAATTAAACATGCTGACCGTGGAGTAGTCTTAGGATGAGTGACCTCCTGGGAAACATTTTCCGGGATGTATGCGAGTGAGGACAAAACACGCTAAAAGATCCCGTGTTGGTGTGTGGGGATAACTCTATCATTCCGTAGCGGTCTCGGATCGTTATAAATGGTATCAGAGCCGATTCTCTCCCAGTACGGTGTAGTTCGAGGACGAACCAGGTGGAAGCTGGTGGGCCTATGACAACTTAGGATACCATAGGAAGGTGAGGAGTGATCGCCGGTGCGAGAGGCATGGACAATGGAGTCGAAGACTCCTGACGAGATTCTGGTTAAGGGGTACAGGGATGAATCAGACGCACCAAAATGAGAGGGATCCGATGGCTGTGTAGGTATGGGACTACACAATCTAAGATAACTTAAAATGAATTAATTGAGCTACTCATAATAACAAGATGCATCTACCTTTTCGGTTGTCCATCTCGAGAAAAATCCAAAGTTAAGCGTGCTGACATTGGAGTAGTCTTAGGATGGGTGACTTCTTGGAAAGCACTTTCCGGGGTGTATGCGAGTGAGGACAAAACACGCTAAAAGATCCCGTGTTGGTGTGTTGGGACAACTCTATCATTCCGTAACGGTCTCGTGTCGTTACAATCTTATTGTTGTTTCTTGTTTTCGGATTTAAACTGCATATATTTCTGGTTTGGAATTTGGCTGCAAAATGCATGATTTCTTTTTTAGAGTTTTATTCTTTTCGCATTACTACTATATAGATTTTGAAAATTTTCGTGTTGAACTCGATAATTTTCAATATGATTTGTGATTTCAAAATTATTTTTTCAAATCTTTAGTGCTTCTAATGAGAACCATTAGATTTCTAAAGTTTCTTGTATTCAAACAACATATAGATGATAAATCATTTGAACATTAAAAGAATCGATGACAAAGACAATATCAATTTGTTGTCTAATGATGAGATCCTTTGGATATTGTCATTCCTAAATACAAACGATGCATGAGCTACTTTACCACTTTCTTCCGGCGAAAGACCATAATTTCCAGAGATTCTTCATCAAAGAGAGACTATAATTTCTAGCTCTCTCTCTACATTGTATTTCTATAAAATCATTGTGTTAAGATTCGAATCTCTCTACGCTCTCTTTATGGGTTTCGTGTTTCATTTGATCGATTTCGTTTGATTCCACCTCCGGAAGAATATGTATTTATATTGCGAAGAACTGAATTCCACATATATATATATATATATAGTTCTGATGATCTATGATAATTTTGAATCTACTTCCATTACAATATTATCTTCTTGTTGTTTCTTATTTTTGGGTTTACACTGCATACATTCCTGTTTGGAATTTGACTACAAAATGCATGATTTCTTGTTTAGAGTTTTGTTCATTTCGTATCTCATCCAGATTACTACTATCTAGATTTTGGAAATTTTCGTTTTGAACTCGATAATTTTCAATATGACATTTGATTTTATAATTTCTTTCAAAAATCTTTGGTGATATTGAGAACCATCAGATTTCTAAAGTTTCTTATATTCAAACAACATATAGATGATAAAACGTTTGAACACTGAAGGAATAGATGACAAAGACAATATCAATTTGTTGTTGATGATGAGATCCTCTGGATATTGTCACTCCTGAATACAAATGATGCAGGAGTTACTTTCTTCCAGAAATACTTTTTTCTGGTGAAAGACCATAATTTTCGGTGATTCTTCATTAGAGAGAGCTACTTTGAAGTACTTTACTACGAATGATAATCACGATGCTAATTGTTTGGATCTTTATATTCCTGAGGTTATGGAGGCACAGGTTTGGTACATTTCTGATTTCGAGTCCAAATTCTTATGTCATCTTACCTCATTCAGGTAGCTTGTGTTGAGTTTATATGTAGAGGTAATATGTTGTTGTCTGTTGAATTGATCTGGTTTTATCATATAAAACTAGTATCTGAAACCTGGGCAAAGCCTAAAGATACGAGATTGCAAATGATACCAAAAATTCAGAATCTTTGCATTTATGTTCGTCTTGTATGGTACTGTACTGAATTTTTATGGTCTATATGTGCAGACTCTGTATCCTACTGGTTGTGTACTACATTAGCTTGTGCATTTGGAGCTATGTACATTTACATTTAGGTGAAATCTTGTTATGTGTTTGCTTGAACATTCTCCCCTAATCTACACGTTTTCAAGCTTGACTAGGTACATTTACCTGCAACCCAAATGGCGAAATTGTCTCCATACTTTTCTTCATATATCTCATAACTTAAATGATCTAATGAATTATATTTATATTCTGTTAAAAACTCAGGCTTGTGATGAAAGTGAGGAACATTGTCAGGAAAATTTGAGGAACCGAAAAATGTTTCTAAATGTTTGTTGTTCCATCTTGAAACCTCATAATGGAGAGAATATTCGGGAAGAAAGATGGAAAAGGAAATAACAAAGTATATCTGGAGAAACTTCAGATTTTGAAAGATAGCAACTTTCTTATCCAGAGGATATTTTAATAAACTTGGGGTGATAAAGGAGTAAGAATAATCGTTAAGAGCTTCAGATACATGTGAGTTTGTTTTCTGATTAGTTCTGTACAAAATGAACACTTAAAACATTATTTATAGCATTTGGTCAGAAAAAACTTAATTTAATTGTTAATAGAATTTGAGTAGATATTTCAAAGATTTGTCTCATGGTAAATGTTGAAAAGATTAGAATACCCGATCTCAAAACATAATTTATCAATACCTATTCAATTTCTTAAAAATTTAAGTGAGTAAAGGTATCGAACCATTTCGAATTTCGATTCAGATTCTTTTATTTCAATTATAGAAAATTATAATTATTAAATTTTTATCCTAAAATCGATTTGATTCGGTATGACTTGGATTATTTGTAATTTTTTTTCAAAAAAAATTATTTTTTTATTTAATTATTTTGGATTTAAAAAAATCATAATTATTCCATTTTTACATTCAATATGTCCGATTGTTAACCAAAATCACCATTTCTACGGAAAAGGAGGGTGAGGCGGAAAGACCAATGATAGAGAACGAGACAAGGAGAGGCGAGAATTTTGTTAATTAATTTCACGAGTTGAATATCTAAGATTTTTTGGAAATAACAAAAATATATTTATGGTTGCCTTTAGATAAACATGGACGGACGTTGGATGCAACCTACCAAAGAAAATTTATTTTCTGCCAAAAAATATTATATTGCCTTTTTCTCGTTTCCGAATGTTTACCTTTTCTTCTTTAAAAGCTAATAAATCACCAAGTCACGCTTTCTGGATTTTTTTTTACCATTGAAACGCATAAAAAAAATGTAAATGTTAAATGCTATATGCGTTTCCTTTTCTGAACATTCTTTCTCTGTGTATTTATACAGATCACAATATCAAATTCATTATTATACATTAAAGATTCGTGTTCCCTTTTTTTTTTAATGATATGCAGAAGATTATCTCCGGTAAATAAATCTTTCTATTTCTTTTTCTTATTATTTTTATTTATTAAGTTAAAATGGGTTAGAATATTATTTTTATTTGTAGTTGGATTGCAAAGGGAGGGTTGGTTGACGAGGCAGTTTATAAGGTGTGGAACTCTGTTTCCTCCGAGCCCACAGAATTCATTCTCTCCTGGAAGATTCTCCGTGGAAATTAACGGAAAATCGCTACGCTTTGATCCTTGACTTCTATTTACACACAGTTTCTAGGTTTTCTGATTGCGGGACCTTGCCAGAGGCTTTCCAGCGAATTCTAGGGTTCGATCCGTGGCAAGATCGTTTGTTGAGTTATTTCTCTGCTGGAATTTCTTCGAAGGTGCACTTTCCGACCTGTTTTGGTTGTTAATTTCCGTCCCCTATTCCGTTCGTGTTGCTTGATTTCGTTGAATCGATCCCTCGTTTTTTTTTGAGGTATTCTTTTTGTTTTCCTCTTTGGGAGCTTGGTGTTTACAATGTCGTTAGGTTTTGGCCGTGTTGAGTGGAATCTCGTTGATCCCTTGGAACATTGATTTGCATTATTAGGGCTTTAATGATTTCGCTGGAGATCGATTCTGCTGGTGGTGTTCATGTTTTTAGGGTCTTGGAAGCCTTTTTTGCAGAAAAATTCCGTCTTCTAAATGGTTGATGAAAATCAAAGCAATCAGAATCTCTTGATATAATGTGTAGAATCTGATTCTTGCGTAGGGAAAAGTGAGTGAATCTCTCAACTGAAATTTAGATTGAATTGAATTGAACTTAAGGATGATGCTATATTACCTCAATTGTTGCGCTTGACCGAAATTTGGGCAAACCTCTCGTTGCAGTGGAGATGCACACTGCAGTTGCCAGCAGAGTAAGTTTCGATCGGATGAACTTGGATTCTTGGAAGGTGAGGAAGAAAAGAATTCCCAGATCTGTTCAGCCGAAAAGGAATAGAAATGTAGCAGAAGAGAAAGAAGCGGGCAAGGTTGTAAGACCAAGACTTCCTGATAAGAGGCGGAAACGGTCTGAATCAGACAAAGGAGAAGCGGGTAAACGGATACCGAAAAGGAAGCGGAGTACTGTAAGAAGGAGATACATATGCAACGATGAAATTGATGATGAATGGGAGAAAGAACAGGAAGTGATCATGAATTTGAAGTTAACATCTCGCAGCAGGAGCAGGAATTCAGATAGCATGATTACTGACAACCCATCAAAGGTTTCAGAAGAGGAAACAGAGCATGATGTGGATACTGGTCTCTGTACACGTTCTCAGTCACCTGCTTCAGACTCATCAGCTTCGGTTTTTAAAGACAATGTTTCTGATAATTGCAGAAGCATGACAAAGAGTTTAAAGGTGATATGTTTCACTTATGTTCCTTAAATCTCGTGAGCGAAGAAAACAATTGTGGGAACTGTATTGAATGTTTTGTCTACAATTATTCTTTTTGAACAGGCACAGATGGGGGATCGTGCAATTTGCCATCAATGCTTGAAAGGGGAAAGAAAAACTCTTTTAATTTGCACTTTTTGTGAGGAAAACTTATATTGTCTGCAATGTATAAAGAAATGGTTAATCTTCTGTCCTTGCATCTGTATATTTTGTTAGTCTTCTAATAAACAGGCCTTCATATCCTTGCTTTGTTTACGATTTACACAGGTATCCCCATATGTCCCAAGAAGATATCATCGGAAAGTGTCCTTTTTGCCGCAGAAATTGTAACTGTGGCATATGCTTACACTCGAATGGATTGATCGAGGTATGAACTTGTTCTTTACATCTGTTCTTGCGCTTTCTTGGTTTTCCAGTCTGCTTCCAAATGCCATTACGTATCTCTGCACCCGGGTTGGTTTAGGATTCAGATATTAATCCACATCTGATATCTTATTTGATATCTGTGATATAAAGAACTATACATTCAATCAAAACATGTGATTTTATTTGACAATCCCAACATCTTACAGACATCAAAAAGGGAGCTCACAACTTGTGAAAGGCTTCATCATCTCCGATACTTGATTGAGTTAGTACTTCCGTTTCTGAAAAGCTTAGGCGAAGCACAGAGGAAAGAGATTGAAATTGAGGCAAAGGTTCAAGGTACGATCTTCCTCCTCCTAAGAAATGATTTCACTTTCTAGAAGATGATTTTTCATTGTCAATTGGCCTTTTCTTCTTAGGAGTGCTGCCTTCTGAAGTTGACATATCTGAGACTCTTTGCTCCAACGACGAGCGCGTCTATTGGTAAGCATTTATTCGTTCATCGTTTTTGAGGAGTTATGATATCTGGATGATATATAGACAGTGTTATTGAAATACTTTTTTCTACAGTAACCACTGTGCAACTTCTATTGTTGATCTGCATCGAAGCTGCCCAAAGTGTTCTTATGAACTTTGTCTGAGCTGTTGCCAAGAGATCCGTGAGGGACGCCTTTCAGAACGCCCTGAAATGAGGTCACAATTCGTGCACAGAGGAACCTGGTATATGCACGGTGATGCTGTGGAACCGAACTCTTCCGAATCTGAGTCTGGTGATGAAGAAGCTAAGGCTCCAATTATGTGGAATGCCAATGATAATGGAAGCATCACTTGTGCTCCAGTCGAGCTTGGTGGTTGTGGGGATAGTGCTTTGGAGCTTAAACGAATCCTACCAAGTTCATGGATCTCAGACTTGAAAGAAAAGGCAGGGACCTTTTTAGCCAAATACAATATAGGACCTAGAAGGTCAAACTGCACATGTTCAGGCATGGAGACTGATTTGCTAAGGAGAGCAGCTTCAAGGGGTGGATCTAGGGACAACTACTTGTACTGTCCTAATTCATTTGATGTTCTGAAGGAAGAAGAGCTTCTTCATTTCCAAGACCATTGGGCCAAAGGTGAACCGGTGATAGTTAGAAATGCTCTTGATAACGCAACTGGTTTGAGCTGGGAACCGATGGTCATGTGGCGGGCATTATGTGAAAATGTGGATTCAGCAACTAGCTCCAAAATGTCAGAGGTCAAAGCAATTGATTGTTTAGCTAATTGTGAGGTATATTGCCTTCCTTAAATCTCCCAGTATTTCTACAATGTAGTGTCTTGCACTGATTACACTGATTATATATTAGACGTTCTAATGGACACTATTTTTCGTTTCCCAAAACTCATACAGGTGGCAATCAATACTCGGCAGTTCTTTGAAGGTTACAGCAAGGGAAGAAGGTACAGTAACTTCTGGCCGGAGATGCTGAAGCTGAAAGACTGGCCCCCCTCAGATAAGTTTGAAGACTTTTTACCCCGCCACTGCGATGAGTTCATCTGCGCATTACCCTTCCAAGAATATTCTGATCCGAGATCTGGAATCCTTAACATTGCTGCGAAGCTTCCAGATGGACTTCTTAAACCAGATTTAGGTCCTAAAACTTACATTGCTTATGGCATTAAGGAGGAGCTCGGGAGGGGCGATTCTGTGACAAAGCTTCACTGTGATATGTCAGATGCGGTACTCTCCAAATTCTTTACCCGTTATCTTTGTTGAACAATGCGAGGTTAAGTATCACCTAATATATTAAATGGGTGTAGGTTAATATCTTGACGCATACTGCTGAGGCAACCTTTTCTGAGGAGCAGATCTCAGCAATCGAAGCTCTGAAACAAAAACATAAGAGGCAGGATGAAAAAGAACTTTTGGGTCGTGATGGATTAGGCAGTAAGTGCAGTGAAGAGCCTTGTGAAGGCAGTGAAAAAGAAAATGGACTTCCAGATGAAACTGGTGGTGCCCTTTGGGACATTTTTAGGAGAGAGGATGTTCCAAAGTTGGAAGAGTACCTTAAGAAGCATTTTAAAGAATTTAGACATACTTTTTGCTCTCCTGTCGTGAAGGTAACCCTCGTAATCATCAACCCCTTCAAGCTAAGGTTTTTTTTTTTTTTTTTTTTTTTTTTTTTTTTTTAAGTTTTTTTTTTTTTTTTTTTTTTTTTTTTTTTTTTGTAACGTGGGATTATATGTTTGAGGTATTTGGTTATACTGTTTCAGGTATATCACCCCATACATGACCAAACATTTTATTTAACAGTGGAGCAGAAGAGAAAACTCAAGGCAGAATATGGTACGTATGTGTACGTCACAGCTAGAACATGGATTGACTCGGGGTTGTGGACATGGCAACATGTATTTTCTGTGTGACTGAATGCAGGGATAGAGCCATGGACGTTTGTGCAGAAACTAGGAGAAGCAGTGTTTATTCCCGCAGGTTGTCCTCACCAGGTTCGGAACCTCAAGGTATAATGAATGAATGATTCATTCACTCCTCTATGACTTGAAAAGCTTTTGTGTTAATATAAAATCTATAACCTTTTTGTGTTGATTTATCAAGAAATAGATGATAAATAAAACTAAGGTAGGAAGCGGAATTGGTTGTTTGTGGACAGTCATGCACAAAAGTGGCTGTGGACTTTGTCTCTCCTGAGAACATAAAGGAGTGTCTCCGTCTCACCGAAGAGTTTCGCCAACTCCCCAAGAACCACAAGGCTCGTGAAGACAAACTCGAGGTTATTTCCTATTCTCTCTCTTATTTTTTCTTCTAGAGCAATATATATATATATATATATATATATATATATATAAAGCATAGCCTTTATGGAGCAGTGGTTTAAAAATTCATACCTCATATCTTGGGGTTGATCACTAACCAAAAAAAATAATATCATACAAGTACCTCAATTTTACAAAATTATACCATTACCTCAAATAAATATCTAAATTTTTAATTTGATCTGATTGATATTTTAAATATTAAAATATATCAAATTAATATATCGAGAATAATTTATAATCTCGATTGATTTTTTATTTTGAAAATTGTCTTTTAATCGATATATTACAGAGTTTGAGAATTATTATATTTTTCATGAGTATTCAAGATATCAATTTGAAATATTTCAATATTGAAGATATCAATTAACTAATTTAATATTTTAAATATTTATTTGGTATTTTTTTTATAAAGTTATTTGGCACATGGAAAGCGCTTGGTCTCAAAGGCGTTTTGGTCTTTTACGTGGGCCCATCTAACTAACCATTTAAAATGTGCCTTTAGATACTAAGGGCCTTGAATATTCTCATAACAAGAGTCCAATGGCTAACATATTCCGGTTTTTTTTCGAAAGTTGTATATTTAGTTTTATATCCGATTTTTTAATTTAAGATTTTTTTTTTTGGTTTTCTTATAACAATATTCATTTTATAAAAGAGTTTTTTGTTTTCCTATTTTGTTCGGGTTTTTAGTTATTTCATATTTATTTTTGGGTTTGATTAATTTAATTGGGTTAAATCATACCCGATTAGTTTTTACGTCAGATTTTATTGAGATGATATATTATTCGATTCGGTTTGGATACAATTCGTATACTTTCCAAGCACGCATTGATAACGCGAAGTTGAGGGTTGTACACCAAAAGTCATTCCCCTTTGAAAAGACCATTTTACCCTTCAGTCTCCACAGTGAGTCCATGGACCATGGCTTTTCTAAATCACGCGGTTGCCGACAGAAGATGCCCAATAAGGGTATACATGTCATTTTATCAAAATCTTTGCAAACAAATCTTTTATAATGTTCCGTGATTCACTTGGGGATAAAACGTCATTTTTATGCCAAACGTAGTAATTTTTCCAAAGGTTTTGAATTTTATTGGGGCTTTGATTAAGCTCATACCAAAGTGAACCCGAACAAGGTTTGGTTTGGTTTGGATCATATTAGATCAAAGAGTATTCCCTTTGGTTTATATGGTTCGTCGAATTTTTTCCCAACCCTACTCGGGGGTGATCCATCCTCATGTGTAAAACAATGTGGATGCGGGAAAAAACAAAGGGAAGACCCAAAAAGCTTGCAATTGATGGCATACATTGTGCCAGTCATTCAAGCGCAAAATCGCAATCAATTGCAAACGCTACATAGCACCATTCAAGTCCTATCAAGTGGTATCATTCAAAGCAAATCTTGTTGGGAACGTTACTTAGGTTTGTAAAGTTGAAAATAGATGTTTCTTGTTGATATTGATTGTAAAGATATATTCATTCGGTTTTTATATCATTTTTCAGTTTGACTCTTATCACGTCTTTTATTAAAAATATATTTTTGAAAGGTTTTAGTTTTTTCTATTTTCATCTTCGGTTTTGATTAATTTAATTTGGTTTTAGAAAATCATATCCAATTGTTTTTTGGGCCGGATTTGGTTCGGATTGCGGTTTATATTTTATTCAGTTCGGTTGGATTTTGTATATCCACACCGAAATGTTCAATAAAACTTAAATTCCACGAGAGAATGGTTTGATTTCTTTATGATAGAGTTCTACTAGGAAACGAATACTAAAGTTCGCAATGAACTTTAATGTTTTGGTTTTTTGAAATCTCTACAAATTGTCAAGGTGAATTCTCTACAAAATTCTATAAGAAATTTACAAAATTTCTTATAGAATTCGATAAGAATATGTAAAATTTTCAAGTTGTCAAAGAAATAGTTTTAGTTAGGGTTGGACGAATGGTTTGGTTATTTCATAAATAAATAAAAATTAAATGTGAAATGGTGGAAAACAAATGACTAAACTTTTCGCTTGACAAATTTATTTCTAACTTGCAAAATGTATCTCAATCTTGTTTATTGGTGTCAGTAAAAACATCGTCGATATTGATTCAAAAATTAGTTTGAAAAATATAATGACATATTTTACAAGTTTGAGAATTATAATAATATATTTTTCAAGTTTAAGAATAAATTTATTAAGCGAAAAGTTTAGTAATTTATTTTTCACCATTTTACAAGTTTAGAATTTTTTATGGAGTTTACCTAAAATCTTATATAAATACTTGAACTTTACAAAATGTGCCCAAAAAACATATAAATTTTAGTTTGATTTAATTGATATTTCAAATATTATAATGTTTTCAATTGATACTTCAAATGTTGAAATGTTTTAAATTAATATTTCAACTCATGAAATTGAGTATAATTTACAATTTTTGATTCGTTTTTATGATAGAAATTATTATCTAATGTATACATCGTCGTCACACTCGAAATTAAAAATTGTCATCTATTTTATAAGATGAAGTATTTATTTAGAACATTTAATATTTGAGGTATCAATTTCAAATATTTTAATATTTAAAATATCCATTAGATCAAATTAAAAGTTTAGATATTTATTTGACACATTTTGTAAAATGTGGGTATTTATATGAGGTTTTTTCAAATTAAATAATTGTCCGGTTATGAATTTTTAGAATTCGAAAATAGATGATCCCGAATAAATCGTAACCGAATAAATTGAATTTGCATTAATCGTAACCGAATAAACCGAACTAAACCATTTATCTTATATTACTGATTAACACAATAAATATTGTATCTAAGTAGGGAAATTAGCATAGTTTATAACTAGGGATGGTCTTTTATTATTAACTGAATAGTCGAATCAAATCAAATAAGACATAATCTTAAAGAACCGAATCTAATATAAAAACCGAATGGTTTTTGAATTCTCTAAACTAAAAAAATAAAACCAAACTAAATAAAAAATAATCAAGAAAACGATTTTTTGAAACAATGAATTTTCTACCAATAAAAAACCAAATCGAATCAAAATAAAATCGAGTTGAATTGAAATGAAGTTGTTATAAAAACTAAATGATTATAGTTTTTCTATAGCCGAAATAACCAGATTCAAATATAATTAAAGCAAATGGTCATCTCTGTATAATGTATAACTATATAACTAAAATAAGGTTTTTATTATTTTTCTAAATTAATTTTTTGTAATTGGATTTATTACTCAAATCAAATCTATATTTTGATACAATTTTAATTAGAAATAATTGAGCTAAACCGAATCATAATTGAATCAAACCGAACCTACTAAGACCAAATAATGGTTGTGTTACGAATTCTTAAAATTTGAAATTAATGAATTCAAATTAATTGAACCGAACCGTTCACACTCCTATTTTAGTGGGAAAACCGAGAATTGAGTGAATTTTTTGGGTAAAAGTTATATTTTTAGAAATAAAATTAAATCTAAATATTACGTGTGATGTTTTAAAATATTTTTTAATATATGGGTTTGGATTTTGGATTGGCGTGTTGTTTGTTTGAGTCATTGTAATTAATGAGTATAAAAGGTTTAATCCACTAAGAATATGAAGCGTGGGTTAAGAGTAGGGTGCCAAAATGACCGGGTCGAGCCAGCCCGGCCCGAGCCCGACACAAGCCTGGATATTTACGGGTCGGGCCGGGCC